AACCCTAAACCCTAAGCCCCAAGCCCCAAACCCTAAACCCTAAACCCTAAACCGACCGATTTAAGGTCTGCTGGGCCTCGACTTCAGGGCTTCGTGGAGTTTGAGGTCAGCTTCCCTCAGCGTGGTCGTGTTGAGCATTGGGTTAGGGTTTAGGGTTTAGGGTTTAGGGTGCCTGGGTGGTTGGTTTTTGTTTGAAGATGTTTTGAGCTCAGGGCTTTGAGGCTCGAGGTGGTTTACAGGTAGGTTTTCTTCGGTCGGCTGATATCTCCTGACGAAAACGTATATTTGTTTTTTGGAAGGTCCTTCAGGACAGAACCCATGTGTCGGGTGCGGCATCGCCAAATTACCACATTCTATCCTACGAGCTGCTTAGGCTTAGACAGGTATTGCGATGTAATGGGGAAAAAGCGAAAATTCATCATCCCCAGCCACAGTGTGAATTTTGGTCAGCGTTGCATGAGCGGTACGCTGTCGTTTGTCTGGCAACGGTTGCATGTTTGTCGCACCCTTGAATTATGCTCGACCGAGAGATCTTGCGTTTGTTGTAATATGTGTCGCCAGCTAACTGGGTCAGCAGCAGTCAGGGCATGGTGAACAGCTTGTTTTTCGGCTTTGAGTGTTGCACGCATCATGTAGGCGCGATGTGGTCAATGTAGGATTTGCCGCCGCAGCTTGGGTACTGCATGCATACCAGGAACCCAGCAGTAGCCTAGACTTGAAATCCTAAACCCTACACCCCGAGCCCTGGACCCTAAGCTCTAAGTCCCTAAGCCCTATAACCACCCATACATTCGCAACCTAAACGCAGACCGTAGACCCAGAAGCCTTGCACCATGGATTCCTGAGCTGCCGACCTGACGATGGTAGGAGCCCGATGCCTGAATTGAACTGGAAGCTACTCATAGGCCCTTAAGTAGTTCCGTTTTGGGATTCCCTTGTAGGATTTTAAATATAACCATAAAAAGGAACTACTTGGGGACCTATGGGTAAAGCTCTTGTCGTTGATCGTAGGTTTTACGGTTTACAGGACCGGCATTCTCAAGTCTATTGAGCTGATAGGATGTCCCTGCCTTTCCTGATCCGCCGCTTGTATAGGGCCTAATTGGACATGTGCTGTGTGTACCCTGGGAGTATGCTGGATGCATGTTACATTCCGCAAATTCCCGTATCCCAGACCCTGCCCTAAAGTATTTCTGACCCTAGAACCTATAGACCGTCAAACATTTTTTGGTAATTAGTAGATAGGCTACCGGTTTGGGATTGGTTTGAATTTTGACTCAATTTCGCTTAGTGTTGACGCGTAACCATGCATGATCGCCTGGGCTGTTGAAATCGGCACCTACCAGTGGCTAGCCCAAGCAGGCCGTACTAACACTCCAGGCGAAACTGCTAGCCACTGGCCTTGCAGAGATTATAGTATTCATGGCCCCGTTCGATTACCGGATGTGCGTTTATAATATGGGCAATTTACAGAGGCCCGTAAGTAGTTTAAGGTAATCCCAAAAAGGAACTACTTAGGGGCCCATGGGTAGAGATGTATTGCAGATGAGCGAGGGTGGACTCCATTCCGCGCTATTTCAGGTTTTGGTCACGGGACTCGAGCTTCCTATACGAATATAGAGGCCTTAGCAGTTCGCAGTAGTATCCCATGATAACTGTGCATGTATTAGCATACCATAATGGACCCCAAAACCCAGTTTCCACGCCCGAAAGACGTTACCTCACCCTTTGGAAACTCGGGGGACTTAGCAACTAGTTCCCCAGTAGGGTTGTAAGTAGCATGTTCCGTTCGAGACTGCCTGGCGCTGAGGCTTTCTGCCGCCCAAGCAACTTTTCAACGTGCACCCAAGCTGGATTTGGGCTAAGTGAGGCTTCCGAGGTTTAGGGCCGTTTTTTCGGGGCTTAACATCGGGGCATGTCGCAAAACTATAATTCCTTCCTTGTTCAAACTATAGTATGCTTATACCGAAGTCCCTATTCTAGTTTTTACGGCCTCTATATTCCGGGGGAGGGGGGCTCGGGTGTGACGTGCCCTCATAAAAAGCAAGTCAGAAGCTTCAACCTTAAAATCCGAACCCCTACACCCCTAAAACTCTAAACCTGAGCCCCTAACGCTGTCCTAAAGCCTAAAACCCTATAAAACCCTAAAATCCCACACCATCGTAAGGTTGCTGGGTTTGCAGCCAAAAGATCCGCATGGTAAGAGTTTTTCGAGCCTTTGTGCAGGGTTTAGTATTGGTTCCGGGTATTGGGATTGAGGTGTGCGGTTCAGGGTTTACAGCTGCGGCCTTAGACAAATGCGGCCCACGTGTTTACTCTTGTTTGAGACATCACCGGTTCAAGACCAAGGTCGTGATTCTAGATTCCAGAGCTCGCCTTGTGAACCGGTTAAGGCAAGCAATAACTTCTATGAGGGAGATGCCTATACAGAGAATAACGAATGAACTCTTACCGGCACCGGCCTTCCAAACGCGCGCCTGAAGAATGGCTTTTACCCTTTGCGACTTACAGAACCCTTAAAAGTCCAAGTACCTGAATAGTTGGGACCTGCATCCCGAAGTTGGCAAATTTGAACCTCCCTTGAAGACACTTTTGCCAATCAACAACATGTGCTCATGTTGCGAACGTTACTTCGTCACAATTTTTGCCCGCCTCCGCTGCTATCCCGGCGTCGCCAACCCAAAACCTCAGCCCGTAGCAGTAGATGCAACAAGCCGTGAATGCTTGAGCGCGAAACCTTACGAGGCTTATGAGGTCAAGGTTAAGCCCAGCTACGTGAAATTTGGGGTACTTGGATCTTATGGGTAAAACCCTGAATCCTAAACCCCTGAACCCAACACACTAAACCCGGACCCTAACCCGAAACCCTAAATCCCAAACCCAAATCCTAAACCCCTGAACCCAACACACAAAACCCGGACCCTAACCCGAAACCCTAAACCCGAAACCCCTAAACCCAAAGCCCTTTAGGATTTAGGTTTCAAGCTCCGGCACCAAGTCCGGAAGTCCGCAGCTTGCATGAGGCCAAAGTATCTTCGATCTAATCTGGCGGCCTTAATACTTATCTATGCTGTTTTGGGGGCTCCTTATTATAATTATAGGAGACTGGGCCCCAAAACTCTAACTATTAAGGCCCCTACACTATTGTCCGACAGACAGTGAAATGCATGAGATGACATGCCACCGGGAGGAGCCTTCAGCATGACATGGTTTGGGCCCAATAGATAAAATTTAGAGTCTTTTTGTAAAAAGGAAAATCATAAACCCTAAACCCTAAACCTTAATCCCTAAACCCTAAACCCTAACCCCTAAACCCTAAACCCTATAAACCCTAAGCCTTATCAACCCTAAACCCTAACCCGGCAAGGGTAGGTTCTAGTGGGGCTCAAGGAGCCTCTGAAGTAACCTTTTTAACCCTCGACGCCCCTCAACCTAGACCTTACAAAGCGTGATTGTAGCCCCTTCAGGAACCCTCAAAAGGAATCAGGGGCCCTAAACCCTAAACCCACAGCCCCTAAAGTAACCCTTACAAGGATGCAGAACGTGGGGATCCAGGCTCGAGGTCTTATGCAAAGCGAAAGCCAGCGCCGAAAGCCATGGGCGAATTCCGGAGGTGTAGGGTTTAGGGTTCAGGGTTACGGTTTAGGGTTTAGGGTTTAGGGTTTGGGGTCTAGGGTTTAGGGGCTCACGACAGAACGGAAGAGTGCCCTGGTTTGCATCACGCTTAGGCACCCATGACAACGCGTACACTTTACGGGTCATGCTGCGTTTGCCTTCGAGCACATCTGCAAGCAAAGACGTATACATTCAAGGGCTTTGTAAACGAAGAGGCCGAATCCTAGGACATGGAATGCACATTCTGCAAAGGAATAACCTTAAACCCTAAACCCTAAGGGGCGTTGGTTGTGCTTGAGGTTTGTCATGCCGACGAATTTCCAGCGAAGGCTTGGGCGGGGATGTCGGCTGAGCCTTTCAGGGGTTTAGGGTTTGAGTTTAGAGTTACCAGAATTCCCCCCCTTCCCCAAGTGCCCTTTAATAGATCGCTTATGGTCCGTAATGGTGGGTATTTAGGGTACATTAGAGGGTAGTTGGTGGGTTTAGGTAGGGCTTGGGGCTATAGGGTTTAGGGCTGAGGGTTGGTGGCCGTTTAGGGTGTTTCCTTTTTTGTCGCAAGGCTTTGTCTTCAGGGTGTTTAAAGCAGCAGGTATGGCATTATGGATGTTTCCAAGTAGAAGCCACTTCCCCGTGTTTCTGAGCCTTCCCTTGTAATAACCGATCAAAGGCAAGGCTCTTGCATGGCAAGTGATGTGGGGTGATATACGTAGGGTGCTACTTCTTAGCTATGAAAACCCTAAACCCTAAACCCTAAACCCTAAGAGAAGCCAAGATACTTTCCGACCCACCATTCCTGAGGGTTTCTGCTTTCGTCACAGTACCCCGAGACCCTGTTCCAATTGTCAAAGGTTTAGGGTTTGACTGGACCCCAAAAGTATGTAGAACAATAGCCTTTTTATGGGTTTGGGGCCATTATTCTACCTACTTTTAGGGGTTTAGGTAGGGTTTAGGGAAGGTCGTTGCATCGCATCAAGATGGCGCTTTGTGGAACTCCGGCAGAAGACTTGGCTCGTAGGATGACGAAACAGACGGCCAGCCTCTTCCCAGTAAAGCCAAAAGAGAGGAATAATGCTGTTCCTTAGGGCTTCTTAATATAACTTAGACTAGCAGATCCCCCACTAAATCCTGTGCAAATCCTATCAACTTATAAGGGCTTTCTTTCTAAATCCCGCGAAAAAGCCTTCGCTGCCGCTGTGGCACCCACCGTTGTCACACCCGAGGACGCCCAGTTGAAGAACAGGCCTGTAGATCCTGTAGTTGCATTTTTCTGCATCTCCCATGCATGGTGCAGACGTGGCAGCGAAGAGTAAGGCGACAACTGGGGCTTGGTCCTGTGAAACCGCCGCCGAATAAGAGACCAGCTGTGGCACGATTCAATTGGACAGGAAGAAGGCAGTATAGCCTGGACTCTCTTGCACATGCTCTACAACTTCCTCATGACGACTCAGGACAACAGCCGGTCGCGATACCACCTGCCGGAGTGCCTGAGACAACAGCTATCGGCTTGTCGCGGCGAGCAGAGCGATATAGAGCCCTTATATACCCCTTTTGATGGAACCACTTCCAGGAATCTCATGCTAAGTCTCCAGGTCTTAAGGCCCTACTATCAACGGTTACCCAGCCTAAACGGATTCTAGGGTTCGAGGTGTTTCAGGCTCATGGTGTGCGTAATGGGGCTTATAGGGTTAATAAGGGCTGGGCATTCAGGCTTAGGGTGTTAGGGCTGTTAGGGTGTATAGGGTTTAGGGTTTAGGGTTTGTGGTTTAGGGTTTAGGGTGTATAGGGTGTAGGGTTTAGGGGGGTGTTAGGGTTGTTAGAAGGGTGTATAGAATGTGTAGGGTGTAGGGTTTATCCACAGCCCCATTAGCTTGCTGCCTGGATAGCACCTTAGATGAACTGTAGGCCGCGCCGAAATCCGACCACCGAAACCCGAAAGACCGGGATGATGATATCATGTACCAACTTTGGGTCAAGCGTTTCTGAGGTTCAGAGCTGCAGAGTCGGTCGACTTCTGTGGCGTTTTAGACACTTCAGCCTTGATGTTTGAAGGTTGGTGGCATATATAAACCCGAAACCCTAAACTCCTCAACCCCAAACACTAAGTAAGTCTTATCGTATCTTATATACAAGCATAGTCTTCCAGTATACATCTTACTTAACAGCTCCTGTACAGGCTCTACAGATCATTCCTGAAGTCGAACGTTGCACGCAAGCTGCTGGAAGATCAGTGACCGGTATGAAGAGTTGTAGGGCTTTGGGAATTAGAGTTTTTGGGGCTTGGGGCTTGAGATGCTTTAGGCTTTAGGGCTTTAGGGCTTTTAGGGTTTAGGGTTAGGGCTTTTAGGGATTAGGGTTTAGGGTTTAGGGTCTACCCATAGGCCCCTAAGTAGTTCCTTTCTGGGATTACTTTATATGATTCTAAATATAAACCACAAAAAGGAACTACTTAGGAGCCTAGGGAATCAGAGATTTTGGGGCTTGGGGCTGGAGAGGTTTAACAGTTTAGGGGCTCGAAGCTTAGGGCTGAGGACACGCAAGGGTATCTTTTACTAGTGTAATATGGTGGATGATATAAATCCTGCATTACCCATAATAAGGAATGTACCATAATTCCCGTAGTTTAGGGTCCTTAGTAACTTAGGGTCATGCAGGATTTATATCATCAACAGTAGTGTAATAGGGCGTTTGGGGACCTCACATTTGGTTTTTGGCGAAGATGTTTTCCAGCTCGGATCGGTTGAGAGTTTGGGAGCGTTCTGGAGTACCTTGCTTTAATCTTTTTCTGACCAGATCCTCGAAGGAATCATCAGACATGAACCTGTATGTTTTCCCTGGTTACTTCCAAGCCCAGCTAAGGTGTTGAGTCGCAACAAGCCATGGGTGTCAGGATTGAAGGTTCATGGGCTGCGGGTTGTTGTTTTGATCTTCAGTGAAAGACGCCTAAGTCAACCCTAAACCCGAAACCCGAAACCCTAGACATTGTGGATATCACGACCCAGGGGATGGTCCTGAGAGGGGGCCCAGTCAAACCCATTGACGGAGAGATGGGCAGGCTGTACCCGTCACAGAGTTTCACGGTTTAGGGTTTAGTGTTTTTACTTTACAGCTACCGATCGTGGATGACCAAGACTTCAAGAGTTCTTGACTCCAAGGGCACCGAAAGGGGAATTGCGAGTTTTTCCTGTCGGTGACGTTGGCAACGTCCGCTCCACGGTGACGGCCGTTTCTGCGAGTATGGGCAAGGCAGCTGCTGATGCCATGCGCGGCTTGCCGTTGTTTCACCGGGCGCTGCAGATTCAAGACATATACGAGGGCTTAGGACTTATAATAGGAACATGAAGGCCTCAGCAGTTTCATTCTTGGTGCTCAAAGACTAAATGTCGTAATTCGAGTTCTAGAGATGTCTATGCCCTGTCGTTTCAAAGTTGAGGGATTGGAAAAAGGGCCTACCTTAACCTTAACCCATAGGATGTGTTGGTAGGAGTGAGGGCCAAGTTTGGGATTTAGGATGTAGGGTTTAGGTTGTCCTTACCCATAGGCCCCTAAGTAGTTCCTTTTTGTGGTTTATCTTTAGAACCCTATAAGGTAGTCCCAAAAAGGAACTACTTAGGGGGTTGTCCTTAATCCGATGTTCAGCTTTCTGGGGCTCACTCCATGTAGGTGCTTGGGACGCTTTGGGTAAAGGAATCCTAGATCCCTTGTAACAGACCCTGTGCAGATCCCTCATGGAACGCTTTTAGGATCCTAGAGAAGCCTTAAGGAATCCTTTAAACCTAATCCCTAAACCATAGCCAGAAATTGCCAGAAACTTCCTAAACCCTAAATCCTAAACCATATTCCCAAAGCCCCAACCACGGAGTCCCCTTGAAAAGACCCCAAACCCTAGAAGCCCTTGGAAGGATCCCTACACCCAAGAAGCCCCTTTACAGGACCCCTAAACCCAACAAGCCCCTTTGAGGGATGCGTAAACTCTAAAAACCCCTTTGAAGGAGCCCTTGCAAACCCAAGAAGCCCCTTCAACGTAGCCCCTAGAAGCCCTTTAAAGAAGCCCTAAACCCTAGACCCTAAACCCTAAACCCTAAACCGAACCCTAGAAACCTAAACCCTAAGCCCTAAACCCAGAAGCCTTAAACCCTAGAAACCCCTTTAGAGGAGCCCCTTTGAAAGGAACTGCAAGATGACGCGCTCCGTGCTCTGCACCATTCGAAAGCTCCAAGGCGGGGTCCACTAAGGGTTTAGGGGTTTAGGGTTTAGGGGTGTATCGTTTAGGGTTTAGGGTCCCCTTTTTAAAGGGGTTCGTTGGGGTTTATCCTTTAAAGGAACCCTTAAAGGAGCCCCCCCAAGGCGCCGTAAAAAGGAACCTCCTTAAAGGAGCCTCCTTAAAGGAACCCTTAAGGGGGTTTAGGGTTTTGGGTTTAGGGTTTAGGGTTTAGGGTTTTGAACGTTACTATTTGGCTTCCTTCAAGGGCTCCTGGGGTTGCGGGCTTCAGGTTTAAGGTTCTTCTAAATGTTCCTTTTGGGAATTCCGTTAAGGCCAACTCAAAGAGCTCCAGAATTAGCTCCGCTTTTGTGGAAGTTCCTTTGAGGTTTGCTGAGGTTTATGGTCCTTTTCCAGGGTTACCGAAGTTTCGAGTTTCGAGTCTAGGCTTTTGGGGTTCAGGGTTCTTTTTCTTGGTAGGCAGTTCAGTAATTCCGTGTCAGCGCTCTAGCATGGGTCCGAGAAGCGGGTTTTGCGTGATTTGACGGTCCGTTGAAGGGGTCCTATAAAAGTGTCTCTTAGGATTCCGATAAGGGTTACTTTTATTTAAGAGGTTCCTTGAAAGGCTCCTAGGGAGTAGGGTTCCTTCAAAAGGCTTCCTTTGAGACTTCCGTGAAGGGTGCATCAAGGATGCCATTTCTTTTGGCTGGAGTGGAGTATAGAGGGTTTGGGGTTGTGTTTAGGGTTCATTGGGATCGTCTCTACGGGCTCTTTCTTGGGATTTAGGGTTTAGGGTCCTTGTTGGTTTCTACGATATCTGTGGAATCTACGTGGTTTAGGGTTTTTGGGTTTTGTTAGGGTCTATAATATGATGCCACCACTGTACCAACGAATCAATGTTTTTTCTTAGGCTCCTTTGTATAGTTGTATCATAATATAATTACCCCACAACCCTCTTCATTTTGCTTCGGCCCCCCAATGTTAGCACCATTCTTGGCAACCCCAAGGCCAAGTCAAGGTAAAGGTGTGGAGGAGAAGTGCGACCGTAAACGAGAAAGGCTCCGCTTTAGGGTGGACTGTTTGAAATGTAACCGTAAAGAACGTGGTTTCTAACTAAGCCCGAAGCCCTAAATAACCCTAGTGCGAAGGTTTGTTAAAGTACTATCAATCGTTATTGACCCTATGCCTGCACCCGGCCCTGCACCATATTATATGGCCCAATAAAGCCATACATTTTAAACACGATCCCAACCGAGGCCCCCTGATCTTTTGAAGGAGTCGCAGAACCTTAATACCTAAGATTCTAAACCCCAAACTCTAAGCCCTCAACCCTCAACCCTTAGCTTCGAAGCCCTAAACCCTAGGATTCGACCCAACAGTCGCGAAGCCCAGCAGCCGGCATCGGCCTAAAGCTCCAGGGTTTAGGGTTTGGGGGGTTGGGGTTTAGGGTTTACGGTTTGGGGGTTTGGGGTTTAGGGTTTATAGTGTTTGGGGTTTACCTATAGTCTCCATCGTAGTTCCTGTTATTGGTTTAACCTACTATATATTAAGGGTCCTATATTATAGCCCCAAGAAGGAACTACAATGAAAACTGTAGGTAGTATTTATATAGAGGTCTGGGGGTTTAGAGTTCAAGTTCGTCTTGGGGGTTTTAGGCTTTGGGGTTTTGTGGTTTCGGTGTTTGGGGTTTACGGAGGTTCAGGGCTTAGGGTTTATATGGGGCCTTAAGGGTTCGAGGGTGCAGGGTTTAGGGTTTAGGGCTTTGCCAGGTCTGGTGAACCATCCCTTCCTTGTTCGATCGAAGAACCAGCAGCTTGAGGCGCGTGAAGCATCATCATTTTCAGTGCTTCAGAGTTTTAGTTAAAGGAATCTACAGGTGAGGAGGTTAGGGAATATAGGGCTTCCATAAGGCTTCTATAAGGTATATAGACCTTCTTTACGAGGCTCCTATAACGGTAACTACCCACCTGAAAATGTCCTAGATTGAAGGTGAAAAAAGAAAGAAAACGCGCAGCAGAGTTTCAGGAGTCAGGGTTTTGGATTGAGGTTTGGTGGCGGAGTCCGCGCAAACGACGAGCCCCCCAAACCGAGAAACTCTAATCGCTAAACCGGTCGATTTTCCTTAGCCGTACTCCCTTGAGTTCACTCCTAACGCCCTCTAAACCCAAAACCCGAAACCTTAAATTACCCATAGCCCCCCTAAGTAGTCCCTTTTTGTGGTTCATATTTAGAATCCTAAAAGGTGGGTTTAGATCCTAAGCCCCTAGCAACCAGACTGAATACAAGCATCAAAAGAAAGAGGCTAAACCCCCAAAAGCCCTAACATCCTAAGCCCCTAGCAACCAGACAGCGTTGTGGTGCAGAGAGTGGTAGTCGTTTGCGTTGTGCTTCTGTCACAGCGGATGCCGTCGCAGCTGATTCTGCTACGACTGCATCACCAACGCAGCCTCAGCAATCGGCAGGCAGTGGCGCTGATACGCACCTGGCTGCCCGAGGCTCACGCGAGAACGTCCTCGAACTGATCCAAGCTTGCGACCAAGGAGAGCAAGCACAAGTCGCAAGAATTTTGCGTCGCCCTCAAGACGTCAACACACTCCTGCCCTTGCCCAACAACAACGACGAAGACACCAGCGACGACGATAGCGAATATGGAGACCGAGTCGCGGTGGTGGTGGTGGTGGTGGTGGTGGTGGTGGTGGTGGGGGTGGGGGTGGGCTATTTACTAAACAAACAAAGAGGCTAAACCCCAAAAACTCTACCATCCTAAGCCCCTAAGACCAGACTAAATACGAAAATCCCCAACAAAGCTTAGCCCAAAAGGCTCCAACCCTAAACCCTAAACCCTAAGCCCTAAACGCAAAGCCTAAATAAACGACCCCAAGCCGCCCCGAGCCCAGGGCCTTCAACGCCTCAGCCGCTATCCTCTCCGCCTCTCTGACCCTATAAACCCTAAACCCTTAATATATCCCAAAGGATCCTAGGTACTGTTATGGGGGATACTTTCCCAAATCATAATAACACTTCCTAATACAGAAGCCCTACATTCTACTATAGAGGTACTTTGGACCCTTTGGGTACGGGCCTTGAAAATAAACTAGGGCTTTGGGGCCCATTACAGTGGATGCCCAAAAGTTGGAAACCCAATAGCCTCAATCCTTAAGAACTAATAGTAATGTATAGGCAATTCCAGCACTATTTGTCCTTAATCCGGTTTCCAACTTTTTGGGGTTTGCTATATACTATACTTATAACAGAACCCCGAAATAGAACTGGTAATATATATATATATATATATTTTAGCGCTTACATTAAACCCTAAACCCTAAAGCCTAAAAGCCCCAAACCTTAAACCCTAAATTTAGGTCCCTACAGTAAACCCTATAAACCCTAAACCCTACAAAAACCCTAAACCCTAACCCTAGATTTAGGCGCCTACATTAAACCCTACATAAACCGTCGGCGCCCCAAGGGCTCCCTTGCTTTCTGCGCCCCGGCAGGCGGGCTTCGACGACGATGAGACCAGGGTCCCTCGGCTGTAGGGTTTAGGGTTTAGGGCTTAGGGTTTAGGGCTTGGGGTTTGGGGTTTAGAGCTTGGGGTTTAGGGTTTTGGGGCTTAGGGTTTAGGGTTTAGGGCTTGGGGTTTAGGGCTGTAGGGTTTTAGGTCCCCTCTTGTGTTGGGGGGAGTTCTCCCTACGAGCTGCTGGCAGGATATGGCAAAAAGGGGTCCCTGCATAACTGAATATTTTGCAGGATACAGGGGAATGCAGTCGAACCGACGGCGCAGCAAGCAGCTTACACAACATTCACACATTATCCAATGGCCCTTCGAAGACGATTCGGCTTCTTTCGGTTCCTAATCGGGTCTGCTCGGATGCCTGGAATTCCTGTTGCAAGATCGTTTTGTGTGGCCATGATCATCGGATCGTTAGTCTTGGCCACCTTTTGCAGAAGCCTCGAGTCTCTAATTCTGGTTTTAAAAATCATGGGGTTTAGGGATTAGGGTGTCTATGATTTTGGGGGTACAAGAAGAAAAAAAAGCCGGCATCGTGTCCTCTTAACCCAGCAGGGGCCTTCCTTCACTCGAAAAAGGATCGTTCTTGATTGCTTGTCTTCGGGTGCACTTCCTAAGCTTAGCCAGTTCGTCAAATCAGGACCTTCAAACCCCTCTGCCCTAATTTAAGGGCCTGGACAATTACGAATACTACGAGTATTTCTGTTGATTGGGGTCCCTTTTGTATTGATAGTGCAGTTAGTACGATATACCCCCAAACCCTATTCTAATTATTCAGGCCCCCCGATTGAATCCTAAGGACTCTGAGCCCACAACCCCCACACATGGAGCAAGCAGGAGCAATAGGTATCGCCAACCGTGGCAGTAGATCATGAAAGTCGAAGCTACGCCCCAAACACCAAAGGTTGAACCCTAAATCCTGAGTGAGGCTGAGCATGCGGATATTAGGCCATAGGAGAAGGGAAGTCGATAGAACGGGGTTACGACGAACAGCCCTCCAAAAGCACATCAACTTGAAAACCATCTATGTAACTCCAAGTCTTTCGTCCCTTCCAAATTAAAAAAGCCTTCTGACACCCCCAAAAAAATCCAACAAACCTGTGTCCTTCGTCCCTGCCAGGCGATGTTTGCGGACATCGATCGCTTGGACAGCCGCCAAAAGCCCGAGAATCGGCCGGTTCACGAGGAGCACCTCAGGGACGAATGTGAGGGTTTATGGATGCCTTAATTAATTAGAATAATCAGACTTATAATTATAATATATACTGTATTTTATGATAGAAATAGAATACGAAACCTTGAAGAATAATATTGGTATTCATTCAGGCTTCTATGTTACCGCTAGGGCCCCCTAAACGGACACACATCAGCAAACCGTAGGGCTCAGGGCCTTTAGGGTTTGGGGTTGCTCACTTTATGCGGTGATATCCCTCTCCCCATGGTCTTCATTCTGAGGGGCTTTCTATGACATGTGACTCAATGCCGTTGTTTCATGTACATAAAGGGGCCTTAAGCTGGGCTGGTGCGAGACATGCTACTCTCAGTTGCCATAACGCGGAATCTCGTAGACAAAAGATACATCCCATTCATTTTTGAAGGGTCTAAAGTACCTCATAACCACATACTCGCCAAAAATGTTCGCTTAAAAACATATACTCCCCAAAATATCAGCATAAAAAAGCTAGCATCATTAGGTTTAAGAGGCGCTTGCAGACTTGCAGGAGTAGTTAAGATTTCTCTGAGGTTGTTCAGAGGTTCTAGAGAGTTTTGTAAGGTCCTGCAGAGTTGTTTATGCAGACTTGTAGCAGAGTGTTTTGGATAGGAGCAAAGGTTTGTATAGGATTCTTAGATATGGGGTTTTCTGAGATCCGTCGCGGCAGACTGCGCGATTCGTATTAAACCGTATGACCGGCTTTACCTCCTGCTGCCTGCTTCCCTGGACGGACGATGCTCTCCTTGCTGCGCTCGACACCCGAAATCAAGTTCAGGCAGAGCACACCAAAACCAACCAGCAAAGAGATGACCTCAACCCTAAACCCTATACCAAAGCCACCCAAGAGAGATTACGACCTTTAAACCCTTATAAACCCTTGCGAGGAGCTTTCGGGCAAGCTCGCCTTGGTTTGTCAGCTGCTTGGGGCCATCAAAGCATCGGGCAGCGGCGAACCTCAATGCATTCTATTCGGGTGTTTCTTCGCCCTACGCCCTAAACCCAAAAAACCCTGAAAGCGTTATAACTCAAGGCCATCAAAGGGGTTCCTACCACAGGACCTTATAAGGGTTTCCTACATCTTCCTTCGAGTCTCAAGGGTTCCTACATCTTCCTAATTAAAAGCCTGACGGGTTCCTACTTCACTACTTCAGGTCATTATGGTTCCTACAAAGGTTTACGGTTCATGTTCACTTCAATCAATCAAGGGGGGAGGTGGTGTTATTAATATGAAGTGAACATTAGGGTGAGACGGGATCACGAAAGTCTTTCGACTTCTTCAGTGACTCTTCAAAGTGCTTTCAGTCCGATCCACGAAGCTGCCTGCGCGAATTTTAAACCCCCCTTAGACCCCAGGTCCAGTTCAAACAAAGCCCATGGCCGAAACTGCGAACATAGACACTAGACACTTTTTTGTTTTGTTCTAAAGAGAGGTAGGATCCCAATTCCAATCTTAAACCAGCACATCGCCCGCATGAGCAGGACCTGGTAATGCCAAGAATTGGCCTTAGCTTGGAGCCATTTCCCGACCCTAAGCCCAAGCCCCGACCCTAAGCCCAACGGCCGGACTGCTATCAGCAACCTGCCACAACTGAGCAATGACATCTATGAACGGAGGTTCAGGGTAGCCGAACCCTACAGTGTAGAGGAGTATTCGTAACTAGTATTGCTAATATGACCGCCATCCATACACTCCTTATCTTATACATTTTTAAATTAAACCTGACCCGACGCCCCCTCCCCTCCCTGACTAGTGTGACCCCGTATTAACAGACGCCTTGGGAAAAGGGAAATCAACATCCCTAAGTCACAAACCCTACAAACAAAAACACCCCTTGTGAAACCGCATAAGACCCCCTGAGTCCCGGCAAGGCCCAGCCCAAACCCGCGTAAAGCCTTGCAGAGCGGTAAAAGCCCCGCACCGTACTTAAAGCCCCACAGCCTTGCAACCCTAAAGCCCCAAGCCTCTAAACCCTATAAACCCTTCAAGGAGCCCTAAGCCCTCAGAGGATCGTTAAACTACCCCTAAACCCAGAAAGGAACCCTAAAGCCCCTAAACCCCTTTATGGAGCCATTATAGAGGAACCCTAAACCTGGAAAGGAACCCCATAAAGGAAAGGAAGCCCTAAACCCTTCAAGGAACCTAAAATCGAAACCCTGGAAGGAAGCCCTGTAAAGGAGCCCTTACGCAGGATCCCCGACCCGTAAACCCTTCAAGGACGCCCAAAAGCCCTAAACCCTGAACACCTAAATTTAAAGGAACCAGGAACCCCAAACCCTGAACCCTTCAAGGAAGCCCCATACGGGAACCCCCCCAAGCCCGCAAGCCCCCCTAAACCCTGAACCCGAATCCCGAAACCCTAAACCCGAAACCCGAAACCCTAAACCCTAAACCCTAAAACCCTAAACCCTGAACCCTCCAAGGATCGAATTGTGATCATCTCCAACTGGACGCAGACCTTGGATCTCATCGAAAAGCTCTGTGCCCCGGTTTGCTTTAAGGGATCGTTACAAAGAGGGGATCTAGAGGTCTAGAAGGGTATTTGAAGGGATCCTTGCAAGGGTACTTTCAGGGATCTGTAAGGGTACTTCAAGGGATCTGTAATGTAAGGGTACTTTAAGGGATCTATAAGGATACTGTCAGGGATCTGTAAGGGTACTTTCAAGGGATCTGTCAGGTACTTTAAGGGATCTGTAAGGGTACCCTGCAGGGATCTATAAGGATACTTTCAAGGGATCTGTAAGGGTACTTTCAGGGATCTGTAAGGGTACCCTGCAGGGATCTATAAGGATGCTTTCAAGGGATCTGTAAGGGTACTTTCAGGGATCTGTACTTTAAGTGATCTATAAAGATACTTTCAGGGATCTGTAAGGGTACCCTGCAGGGATCTATAAGGATGCATTCAGGGATCTATAAGGGTACTTTAAGGTATCTATAAGGGTACTTTCAAAGAATCTATAAGGGTACTTTAAGGGATCTGTAAGGTTACTTTAGTAAAGGGACCTGTAAGGATACTTTCAAAGGATCTGTAAGGGGTACTTTAATAAAGGGACCTGTAAGGGGTACCCAGAGACTCCAAAACCCCTTAATTAAGGAATATACCTTAAATTATAATAGGAACCCTAATAAGATTTAAGGTATATTCCTTAATTAAGGGGTTTTAGAGTCTCAGGGTACCAGAGGGGTTTGGGGTCTTCGGGAAGCTCTGCGCCCCAGGAGCCGTAGGGTTTTGGGGGTTCGGTCGGGGATCTGTTAGGATGTTGGGCTCAGGACTTCGATCTTCAGGAGGGTTTTAGGGTTTAGGGTTTAGGGCTTTGGCTTTAGGGTTCAGGGTTTAGGGTTGGAGGGTAGGGTGCATGGGGCTTCATAGGGATTTGATTCCAAATCCCGGGCCTGCAACTCAAGAAGCCCAACCCTCAGACAATGGACCTGGGCTCTTACCCGGAAACATTTTAATGCAGTGGTCGGAAGAATTAGCTTTGGGTTTTAGTGTTCAGGGCCTTTTCAGGGTTCAGGATTTCAAGTTACGGAGGTTTAGAGTTTCGGGTTTAGGGTTGAGAAACAGTATCCCCTCATGGTCTTACTTTCTGAGTGATCCTACAACTTATCGCTGAGAGTCCAGCACGTTTTGCTTGGGAACATTCCTGCAGTTGGTAACTTTCGGAAGCGGTTGATTGAAACCCTGCTTGAAGGATCATGGGACTTAGTTAGTCAGGTTATCAATGCCCTCATACCCTACCTGTGACCCCAAACCCTACAAAATAGTAGCTTATGACCCCTTAATTAGAGGGTAGAACCTCTAAGACGGTAGGTTTTTGGATTCCCAGGTAGTTACTAAGTCCCAAGATCCTCTAAGTAGTCTAGGGTTTAGGGTTTAGGGTTTAGGGTTAAGCCCCAAGCTGCCAAGGTGCGCAGCACAAGTGGCCGACGCATCGTCTGGATGGGACCATGGCCATCAACAAGCGGATGTGCCTCGGCCAGGGTGTTCTCTTCAGGGCTTTTTTTGCTTCTTAGGGCTTATAGGGCTCTAGGGGTCTAAGTGAAGCTCTAGGGTTTATAGAGTCTAGGGGTGTAGTTCAAATTCTAGGGTTCAGAGTTTAGGGGTCGAGGGTTCGAGGGGGTTCTGTGAGCTGTTGAGAGTGGTTTTGGTGAAGACGGCAGTTGTTCAAAAAGAATGCTCCCCAAACACTCCATGAGTTGTATTCCCCTCTTATCTAAACCCTAAACCCCTAAACCCTAAACCCATAAACCCTAAACCGGGTGTGTTACCATGGTCTCCCCATTGAAAGGACTTTCAGACCCAAAGACCTACATCTCTGTAACAGCCGTTTAACGTCGATCAAAGATTTTGTGCAGCCCCAGCCGCTATAAACTCTACACACCACTAAGCCCAAGAAGACTGAGAAATCTGAACCACGGGCCTGCCGGCGTAAACAATGAGCTCATAGAACTTGCGGCAATCCTATAGCTGTAAAGTAAAGCTTTCGTGTTCTTAGGGTCGCGGGTTCAAGAGTGAAGGCGTTCTAGCGTTTAGGGTCTACGGTTCAAGGCTCTAGGTTTGGGGGTTAAGGGTTATAGGGTTATGGGTTTGGGGTTTGGGGTTTGGGGTTTAGGGTTTAGGGGTTTAGGGGTTTTGGGGTGTAACAGGAGTTTCATGTTTGAAGCTCACTTGGAAGCATGAGCCATCAGGGTTTATCGATGTAGGTTGAGGGCCACGATACCCTGCTCGTAATCTGCTTTGCTTTCTCCCAGCGCTTCTATTTAAGTAGAGCCGAGACCCTGAACCCTTAATCCTAATGCCTGAACCATGTACCTATACAGTTTACGCTTTGGTTCTAGGAGGTGCTTCGGGGCCCGTGACAAATGGCACATGGACCTCTGGCGTAACCCCCATGCACTCGTGGCAGGAAGCTGGTGCAAGACTTCAACCGGCCAGAGAATGAGCAGGCTTTTGCGTTCCTGCTGTCATCGACGC